AGTGTGCGAACACAGTGCAAGCAGGTTTGCCGCTTACCGGTAGTCGGCGTCAATCTGGGTACCTATTCTTGACATCGTTCGCAATTTTGCGTATACGCATCACGTGTATTGTTATAAACAGGGTATCCCAGAAATAAGTGCAAGTATTTTAAAGGCTGGTAGATCCCGATAAAAGAAACATATTTTCTCTTTATCGTTTTTCAAATAAGTCCAAAATAACGGAGTTATTTTACTTTGAAAATTTCCAAAAAAAATTATTTTTTGCTAAAATTTTGAGAACCACTGGATCTTTTCTGGATTTTCTTTCTTGTAACTTTAATCTACTACCTATGTTGCCATATTATCAAGAAATTATTTTCTTTAAATAAAAACTAAAAAAAATTCCAAAAAAATTTTCAAAAAATTCCGAATTTTCAAAAAAAAATATTTAGAAAAAAACCTCATTGGCGTGTTTCTGGGGTTGAACTATACTACCAGTTAAGTTAAAATACTTGCACTTATTTCTGGGACACCCTGTATATGGGTACATCGTAGCGCCGCGCCGCGCCGCCTCGCGCTTATAACCTTGAAAAATTAAAGCGTGTTATCAAATCGGCTAGTTCACAGTGAAAGCAGGCAGATGGCAGGCAGGCACCGTCAACCAGCGTTCATCGGCGTTCTCGCTTTTACCGGAACGAAAATTTATTTATTTCTGCTTTTGCACGCGCCGACGGCACACAGAGGGTATTAAGAACTAAAAGTTGGCCAAAATTATGTTTTATGATTTTTTTGCTTTTTTGCTTGTAATATTAATTATTAATTAGAGGAGAGGTTGCTAATATGGAACCCCATTTTGTTTTTCCTACACAATATTTTTTCCTCTACTCTGAAACCCTTTCCACCGATCAAATAGGGCCATTCTGTGCAAAATCAAGCAATTGGATGAGGATGCTAGAACAAGAAAGTAATTTGTATATTATAGACGATATTTGAGCGAGGATGGGTGTTATAGGGTAAAGACTATTTCCTTTAAGAATCTATTTAAATCAATGTTTTTTTGGCAGTGGCAAATATTGGCAAGATTTTTGTACATATTCCAAAGCTGGAGACTTTAAGCATTGAACGGATACTAATTTCCATGCGGAATATTGCCGAATAGTCTTACACCTTATAAAAATGCCTCTGATTTTTTAAATATAAAACATTATAAAGAAATAGAATAGAAGAAAACGTTATTAAAATAAAAATATGGCATAAAACAGGACTTGCCAGCTGGCTCTGTATCCATCATGACAGTTATTATAAACAATTTGCAAAAAAAAGCACTACAAGCAATTCCACTATTTTATAATCTTAGAAATATTCAGAATACACTCAAGATAATTCATACTTACAACTGAAATATATTATTTATTTGATAGTCAACTTACGACTTAAAAAAAGCTAATAAACGCGCTTACATTTAGTATTTATAGATTTGTATTCAGTTAAGATAAAAAATGAAAATAAAAATATTTCACTTTTGGCCAGGTTTATAGACCAAATACCCCTATGTGCGGCGCTGGCGCGGCGTTTGAATATAGTTAGGTTAGGTTAGTTAATCAGGTAAATTTCCTCTTAATTAACTTCTTCCGAACCCTGCTCGCATCTCCGAAAAAGCCATATAACAATACACGGCATATACGCAAAGTTACGCATCACGTGTATTGTTATATGGCTTTTTCGGAGATGCGAGATGTGAGCGATATTTGAAGATGCGAGTGGTCAAGAATAGGTCCCCAGAGACGGCGCTGGTTGCCGGAAAGCAGAAACCTGCCTCCACTATGTTCGTACCCTAAGAAACAAAAGTTACAAAGTAGCGATGTGAGCTTTTACCCTGGGGGTGGGTGCCACCCGTTCTGGTGGTGAAAATTAAATTAATAATTTTAATTACATTTAAAAGATCTTTTCAAGCACTTTAAAAACGGTCATATTCGTTTTCTTCGAAAAATGTGTTCTTTCGCCATTATTTTACTGTAAAAGGTTGTAATTTAGTTCTCGAAAAATAAAAAAAACAGTTACAGAGTGATAACTATACTATATTCCAAAAACTTCATTTTTGCTTTATATGAGTTTTGCGATAAAACGCAAGGTTTTCGAGTTATTTATAAAATGACAGAAAAATATGCGGTTTTTAGATGAAAAAGAACATTTTCAATCCTAAATAGGAAAATATTAATTTTCTGAAAAAAATGCTATAGAATATTTTTTTTGCTTAGAATTCATCCCTTTATTGATTTTTGCAAATAAAATGTGTGATGAACTTTTCACCCCCGAGAAGGAGTGACACTCACCCCTAGGGTAAAAGTACACATCGCTATTATGTAACTTGTTTCTTACATATATCTCTATTCACTGTTAAAATTTCACGTCAATTGGTGCGGGCGTCAAGAATTCGGACGTAATACTCTATTTTTATCCTCGCTCAGTGACCTGGTAATAATACTCACAATTGAAACCACTAGAGGCAAAACGTTTTAATGAAACATTTTATAGTAGATTGTAGTTATATTTAGTAGGTTGTGTGTATATCCTAACACAAATCAGGACATCCTAGTTTATCTTAAAAAGCATCAGGTCATACTAGTACGATCAGGAAATTTGAAAAATTCCTAGGCCAAACTAAATCGGCTTGAAATCTGATATTTCCTGTAACATATACATACATATTTTAAAAGTTGAAATTACGTACAATAAAGCGAATATCAGAGAACAACTGTAGGTACAATAGCAAGCCAGAGTTCATATTTACCAATGTTTAGAATAATATCAAACTATTTACTCAGCTACCGCTCATCACAAGCGTATTGTTATAATGTTTGATTTTACGTAGATTACAATGGTTTAATTTGTTTGGCCTGTTAGCTGTCGTATGAACACGAATATGTAATTAGAACATTTATAAAAGTTCGAGATTTTTGAAAAATATAAGTTTGTTAAGTATATGGTTTTAAAATTAATACGTGATATATGGTTTTATACGTTAGGGTGTCCCAATGTAGACAAGAACTACTACGTATATTTAGAATCAACATAAATTCATTGAACACAATTTACCCCTATACAAAAATGCTTGGTTTGTCCGCTACAGGCCATCAAACTTTAAAATAATAAACACATTTTTTCAAATATTTTAAGAACCATTATTCTGATTTGAATGAGATTTTGGGTGTTTATATTTTGCTAAATGCTTTAACATTTGACATTCTCAAAATTCAAGAAAAAGTACGCGAAGGGTGAAAACTACCACCATCCCTACTTAAATTTTAGTAAAAATATTTTCCAACCTAACCGACGACCGATTTTCTTTTCGTAAAATTTCCTTTCTCGTATTTTACTATATTTTTTATCTCTTGTAAAAAGGCTAAAAAAATTAGAAAATGTATTTTTCCAAAGCAGACCTAAAAATGTACAGGGACTTCCAATATTCCATAGACATAGAACAATTACGTATTCTTTGAATCAAAATAAATTAATTGCATATAATTTACCTCTATACAAAAGTGCTTCGTTTGTTTGTTAGACAACATCAATGAAAAACAAACCCGAACGTTAATTAATTTAAAAATTATTATTTTCTTCAAGTTTTTCTTCTTCATTATATTTCAAGCTTCTTCAATATAAAATTTATTAAAGCTTACATAGGAGTGGAGGCCCTTCCCGTACTTTTTCTTAATTTTTGTAAAATTCAAATGTTAAGCACTTAGCAAAACATAGACACCCAAAATCTCATTCAAATAGGAAAAACGGTTCTTCAAATATCTGAAAAAAATGTGTTTATTTTTTTGAAGTTTGATGGACAAACGGACAAAGAACTTTTGTATAGAGATAAATTGTGTCCAATGAATTTATATTGATTCCCAAAATACGTAGTAGTTCTAGGTCCACGGAATGTTGGGACACCCTGTATAGTTTGCGTTTATTATATTATACGATTTTGTATTCGAATATTTTCTAATTTTTCATATCATAAATTTTGTATAATGTGATGTTATATGATACACCGTATGTCATAATTTTACATTGATATTTATTATATATTAATATTTATTTATATTCAGTATAAATTACCTTGATTATTGGAAAATAAGTGTTATTTAAAACGATTAGTTTTATTTATCGTTTTAGAGATATTTATTATTTATTCTTATTTAATAATTAGTTTAATATATTGATTTTATGGGAAATGCAAGGCCAAGACAAACACCCCTACTTTCTGCATAATTTTTTACAATATATTATAATGAGTCAGCATTTCTTTCTTTAAAATGTTATTCAATAGTCGGGAAAACATTATTTTTAATAAATTAAAACAATAATTTTGAACAAATCAGTAATTCCTTTTATAAAGGTGCCAAAAAATGCAAGGTCACAAGAGTCTTGCATGCTTGATCTTAGTCTAGCAGATCAAACGCTAGTCTTGGTGCTGGTCTTGCATCTTTGTGCAATACCAAAACTAAGATCAATCTCGCCCATTACTAATATTTAGAGTTATATCTACCAACTTTTAATCTGTTAAAGTGTAAATTGATTTCCCAAACAGAGTTTAAATAAATATAAAAACAACATTCCGTTAATAGACAGATCATATTTTTTATCCAGGAATATCGCTCTATAGTAAAACTTTACCGTACTGTTCTTGTGTAAATACTTTGCGGAATGAAACATTCGCTAATCAAAAATACTTCCCTTTTTCGTTATTAATCAAAAACTTTTAATATACATGATAAAATTGTACAAACAAAATTAGATTCGAGAAATATTGAAATATTTAATTGAACTCAGTGGATGTTGTTAAAAAGTGTAATTTTTTGGTTAGTGATTACGTGAAAACTAACGTTAATGTACCATAAAATTGTATAAACAAATTGAACTTTGTAAAGCAACTACGTAAAGATTTGTCGCTGTTTAAAGCGTGATCACGCGAGTGCTTAACGAATTCATAGTGATTAAGATGTGTTCGCGTGAGCCGTAAGCGTGATATGGACTCGCTGGATCGTTTGAGCGCCGCCAAGCCGGTGCACAGCTCGGCATTGGCTAGCGGCAGTAGCCTCCCGCGCAGGGCTCTGGTACACGCTAGTTTGGCAACTGTTGGTAGGCGGGGACGCCACCTGACGGGTACCTTTTGTCTTACCGGAGATACAATGGAGGGTATTATCCAGTGTCTGGTGTTCCTAAAAGCTTTCTCGGTAAGTTTTTTTTTTAACTTTTATTTCAATTAAAAAAAGAGCAGAAAAATGAAACACTTATGTATCACAATACACCAAAACATTGAAGAGCATCCTAGAGTCTCACAGATCATGTTCTGTGAGAACTATGAGACTCTAAGACCAACTAAGCAACTGCAATAATTGACTGTCACTCTGGCTGTGAGACTCTAGCTAACTGACTGCACTATCCTCTGTATACTTGTTATCGCTGGTTCTGAATCTTGTCATCGCTGGTCATCAGTAATTACTAGTGAAACAGTTCACACTATCTTGAAATTATTTTATTATATACGGGATTTGATTAGATACCGATTGTTTATTAATCAAGAATACAGCCCTTGCTGCTTCCCAGTGCGCCTTCACCAAACCTTTCTATCCAGTGCATTGATTTCTTCTAGCTCTCTGTCTGTTCTAGATCTACTTCGCCTTCTTCTTTGTGGATGACTCTACTGAAACAGTCGTTTAGGCAAGCGATCTTCCGGCATTCTTAACAGACGGCCAAACCACTTCAAGCTTCTTATCTCTCGTCTATCTGTAATTCACTCTGGAGCATTCATTCAGTTCCTTCTGAGACTGTCCATTTTGACTCGTGCAAGTCTCCGCTTCATTTCGGCTGTTAGAGCCTATGGTTAGGTTAGGTTAGGTTGCTAGAGTTGCTCACTCTGTTATTATTGTACCAAACCTTCCTCTCATTCTCTTTGCAAAGTTTCCGATGTCGCTGGCTTCTGCTACTTCCTCTAGTCCCTACAAAAAACCTTGCCCTAAAGTTTCAAAGCGTCGCTATTCCAGTGCCGAACAGTGACACAGCAGATGCTCTGTGGTTTCTTCTTCCTCTCCGCATTCTCTCTTCAAATGTATACCGTGCTGGTAACTGTTATTTTTGGGTGGGTATTTTTATGTGTGGAAGTAAATCGCATAAGGATCTTATTAAGTCGGAGTGAGAGAAATGCGTCGGTGTACTGTTGCGTTGTTGCCGGTACGCCTTTCCCTATCAAGTAAAGTAAAATTACGTTCGCAAACCGATTATTTTTCAGACTTTTTTTCGAAAAGGTAACTAGATAAAATCATTAAATATGTTTCTGAGCATGTGAAATTAAATTATAAGGATATCGTTAGTGTGTTCATTTTTTTTATAACGAGAAAACGTCAGTAATCGCGATAATTTAAAAACTGAACTTCATAACACGGCATAACTTAACTTTTATTTTGAAGATCGGATGATTTACAATATGTTTACGTAAGAAAAATTTGATAAGGATGTTTTTTTCCATTCTAAAATTTTAAACGACCCATTCGTTTACTTTTAGTGCATAGCGGTTTTCAGTAATCTTAAGTGTAACTTTTTTATTTATAAAGATAAAAAGAAGAAAGTTTTTGAAAAACTACTACTTCTAATAGCGCGACCACTATCGAACACCAACTCAATTCCACTTATTTTTATCAAAAATGCAAGTGTTTCTAACTTGCACTTAAAAATGTTCAAGCTATAGGAAAAATTACAACGACTCGTTAATAAATAAACATTAAAGTATCAGGAGACGTAATTAAATTGTGAAGCTGAACGCATGATGTACACCTTTGCTTAGAACCTTAAGTACTGACAGAGGTATTGATTGGGTCAACCGGTCGATTGCGACAAATCTACTATATCCCCTTCCACGTCTCTTAGCAATGTGCACAGTTTCTCGGTTTATTGCATACGTTTGGCAACGTGTTTACTGTTCTCTCTTTGTTCAGTACATTGTATTCAAGTACAATCAACGCATTGTACTCTTCTTACATATACGGAAATATCGACCCAAGACTAACCTTTGCCAGCCCTTAGTAGACTTTACAATAAAATTCTAATAACCTGGCGATGACTGCGATGAACTTAACCTTTAGTTACTCGTATTTTTAACGAACTAACTCAAATTAATTGTTTTAATTAATAATTGTAAAATTATACTTTACATGTTTTATTTTCTCCAAAATTATATAAACACAAATCGGCCTAAATTTTGATTCTTGACATTGTCATAATATATAAAGATGTTTTAACCCATTAGTGCATAAAGTTATTTTTTTCTGAAATTAGTTTGGAAAATTAATTATATCTATTAGTTTATGTAATATAACAGTGAAAATAAATAGAGAAATTGAACAATGTATGTATTTTTCTGAAAAATGACTGTCCATTATAATGATTTATTTTTATTTTTGAGTTGTAGGGAAGCAGACCGTACATTTACTTTTTCTCTCTTGTACGGCAGAAGAATTTTAAGATGGAATGAAAAATATGCTTTTATGTTTCTTTTTTCAAAGGAATATTTCGATTTATTTGACTGGTTTGGTTTTTCTATGTTTCTCGTATTTGTAAATAATATCAGTACTGTTACATTTCTGTTTTTTTGTCTTTATATTTTCCTTACAAATTTTTTATTTTTTACTAGCTGACTAGCTACTAACTTCGCTAATACTAGCTACTAACTTCGCACAGCCTGCTAGAAAGTGAAGTGAAAGATTTTTGTGAATCTTGATATGGATGACTGATTGAACGATATCTACAGGGTTGTTCACCACATACGACACGGAGTATTGTAGCTAAACGATTAGATTTTTACAAATTGTAAGTTTTGGGTTCGTTGAAGAACTATTAGAGCTACAATTTAAAAATATTTTACAAGATACAGAGTGTCCCAAATAAGTAAAAAATATCATAGTTGTATTTTTTTAAATGGAACACCCTGTATATTATTCTATTTTTAGATTCTACGATTAAAATAAAGGTAAATTTTGATTAAGGTTCATCATACTTAAACCTTACCGTTTTTGAAATATTTTCAATTTTATGAAATTGCAGTAAAAATTTTAAGGCTTCATTTCTCCGAGGGTATCAAAGTTTTTAATACTAAATATTTACTGAAGATTATTTATTGACCAGATATTGTGTTGCAATAATAAAAAATGTACTACCTTATACAGAGTGTCCAAAAATGTATATTAAATAATTACTAGCTTTAAACGGCAATAGCGTGTTTAATTTAAATGGAACACCCTATATATTTTGCGTGAATCAGATGCACAATGTAATTGTCTATCAAATTGTATTATACCATTTTTTACCTATCTCTTCAAGTTTTCGTAGAAAATGCATTTTCTTATAATTTAGACCTCATTTATCACTATACCCATGGAATATTGACATTTCAGATTTTTTTAACAGATATGCAGAAAATGTACAAGTGGTAAATATTGCAAGCCTATTGGTATACCAAAAAAACCATTTAAATCTTTATAAAAGAGTATACGAATTAAATATACCACCATTATTTCCGACCAAAAATTAGTTAATTACATACTTTTAAATTGTTTTAATTAATAATATTCTAATATATGTGGATTAGAATAGTATTCTAAATAAATGTGGATTTGGCTCAGAAATCAATATAATAATAAATTATGAAAATAAACGTCTCTGTTTTTATAAATCAGCATTCGTCAAAAAATGAAATAAAATTTATAAAGCGTTACTTTTTACCACACTGTCTAATACACACACAAAATTCAGTTTTTTAGTATTTGGAGCAATTATTATTAATCAACATAAACAGTCAATTAATGTAGTCTGAATACTGGGATTATATTAATTGGTCCTTTTTAACAAAAATATTTAAACAGTTTTTTATTTTTTTTATGAACACAATATTAGTATCTGTACTCTTGGAAAATTTGTTACATCTTTAAAAATAATCTAAAATGTCAATATTCCATGGGTATAGTGATAAATGAGGTCTAAATTATAAGAAAATGCATTTTCTACGAAAACTTGAAGAGATAGGTAAAAAATGGTATAATACAATTTGATAGACAATTACATTGTGCATCTGATTCACGCAAAATATATAGGGTGTTCCATTTAAATTAAACACGCTATTGCCGTTTAAAGCTAGTAATTATTTAATATACATTTTTGGACACTCTGTATAAGGTAGTACATTTTTTATTATTGCAACACAATATCTGGTCAATAAATAATCTTCAGTAAATATTTAGTATTAAAAACTTTGATACCCTCGGAGAAATGAAGCCTTAAAATTTTTACTGCAATTTCATAAAATTGAAAATATTTCAAAAACGGTAAGGTTTAAGTATGATGAACCTTAATCAAAATTTACCTTTATTTTAATCGTAGAATCTAAAAATAGAATAATATACAGGGAGTTCCATTTAAAAAAATACAACTATAATATTTCTTACTTAGTTTGGACACTCTGTATCTTGTAAAAATATTTTTAAATTGTAGCTCTAATAATCCTTCAACGAACCCAAAACTTACAATTTGTAAAAATCTAATCGTTTAGCTACAATACTCCGTGTCGTATGTGGTGAACAACCATGTATAGTGGCATTTGTGTCTATCATTTGAATACACGGGAAAATGGTTTTGACCGTCATTTTTTGGATGTCGTCTGTCGGAATCTTCCCTGACTCGTTGGATATCATCAATTTTCTATTTTAATATGATTCTAGATTTGCATATGCTATTTTCGTATTATTCAGATGAATTTCTATTCTATCATGTTACTGATTGGACATCAGTTATCATAAGCTATAAGCATTCGTAACGTTGATTGATAGAGTTTCGAACTTAATTTATATATTTAAAAATTATTTTTTTGTATAATTTCTCTTTCTTTAAATTTCAATAATTATTCTACTATTCGGGACGGAGACTTAAGCTTCATTCAGAACCTCGCAATTAGTGGAATAAATTGGAGGTTTCAATTACACGTTATAATTTTTAGTTTACGATCATTCACAATGTCTAAAAAACAGAATTAAAATTATTAGAATATCCTAGCAACAGCTTGCGGTAGTTAGTTGTATACATAGTAGTACGAGAGCTAGCAACGTCGGAAAAACAAGTATTTTAAGACCTCTTAAAAGGCTCTGATATATCTTTTACTATGCTCTCTAGAACAGCAAACGTTGCGTTC